TTTGCATTGTTGAGTGGTTAAACCAAGGAGAGGAGCGCCTTAGACATAAGAGTTCCGCTTAAGTAGCCTAGACATAGGACCTTAACCCGAGGTTGCGACTATTTCCATCCTAAAACTAAGATATCTCTCATAATAGACATATTAGGGAATGTCTTAGGACTTTGAACTTGCTTAGACATAAGTCAAGTGAAAAGCGTAGTCGTTGGTTCCTAAAGTAAAATACATATCGTCCTTAGCATATCCTTGATTCTTTGTTGGCTAACTTGAAGTAATTCGGGCTAGGTTTTATCATTATAAGTCCAAATCCCAAATCCAAAACCATTATTTGTGACCGCTTCCCATTTTACAAGAATCACTCATTTCAACATTCACTATTCTTTAAAACTTTAGAGTTTGGAAATTATTTAGAAGTCCTTGAGGATCGATACTTGGATACTCCATCCATTTTATATTACTCTGACAGGTGTGCGCTTGCATCTATATAATTGTTACCACGCTTAGTGCGTGCGTTCAGCATAAACGCCCAGTCAATCATCTTAACAGAAAGAGAAGCTCGTCCCTCCGAAGAGGACGAAGTCCAGCATGCTCGCACAAAAACTCCAACCAGCAGGCCGAATCTTCTTACAACCCAATAGTTCCTGAGGGAATGATTACTAGGGAAGAGTTCGACCAACTTAAGAGCAAATTTGATGCTCAGGTTGAAGCCTTAAAGGCAAGGTGCGAGGTAAAAATGAGTGCATTTGATGATGGCGACTTAGGAGAATCGCCATTCACCTCGGACATCTTGGAGGCTCCCATCCCTCCAAAGTTCAAAACTCCCACTATGAAACCATATGATGGGTCTAAGGACCCAAAAGACTATGTTGAGGTTTTTGAAGGCCTCATGGATTTTCAAGCGGCAACAGATGCCATCAAATGTCGCGTCTTCCAGATCGCACTTACCGGCAGCGCCCGCTTGTGGTATAGAAGATTGCCGGCCAAGTCGATATCGACCTACTCTCAGCTGAGGAAAGAGTTCATCAGTCAATTCTCTTCTCGGCACTATGACAGAAGGACAGCGACTCATCTCGCCACCATCAGACAGAAGGAGGGCGAGACGCTTAGAGAATACGTTACAAGGTTTCAGGAGGAGCAGCTGAAAGTCGTGCACTGCTCCGATGATTCGACCATGTGCTACTTTCTCACCGGCCTGGCCGACGAGACCCTTATCGTAAAACTTGGAGAGGAAGCTCCAACTACCTTCGCTGAGGTTTTGCAAAAGGAGAAGAAAGTTATCGATGGACAGGAACTCCTCCGGACCAAGACTGGCCGGCCAGAAAAGTAGATCGACCTCAAGAAGTCCGACCAAGACAAAAGGAAAGCTGATTCCAAGTCTAAGGACAAGGGGTCATCCTCCTCCAATAGCCGAACTGATTATCGCAGGTCAGACAGCGGTCTCAACCGAAGCTGACCTTACGAGCATTATACTCCTACCACCATCCCCATCTCAGAAATACTTACAAATATTGAGGAGACTGGGATGGAGAAACTCCTCAAGCGACCTGAGAAGCTCCGAGGAGACCCAAAAAAGTGCAACAAAGATAAATATTGCCGTTTTCATCGTGATCACGGCCATAACACATCGAGTTGCTGGGAACTCAAGTGCCAGATTGAAGACCTCATTTAAGATGGCTACTTCAAAAAATTTGTTGGCAAACCGAGGTCTAACTCGGTAGAAAAGAAAGAAGAGAGGA